AATTTGATTATTCTGGAGATCCAAAGAAGTCAGAGAGGAATTTGATTCTAGAGCCTTTGCCAAAGCTGTTGCTCCTGCAGCTCCAATTTTATTAAACTGGAGATCCAAAGAAGTCAGAGAGGAATTTGATTCTAGAGCCTTTGCCAAAGCTGTTACTCCTGCAGCTCCAATTTGGTAACCATTCATATCTAATGTAAGCATATCATAGACATCTGCTAATAGTCTCAATGTCAATGTCTTATTTGGTTCATATTCCAAAGATTTCATAAAATGCTTGAAAGCATTTTCATATTGACCAAGCATCAAATAGTCTGCCCCACTATTTCTCAATTCAAGTGCATCATAACCAGTCTGTGATAATTCATTCCAGGGCATTGTCTAGCTAGCTGAATTGTTCAGGGTTGAGTATAACATAATTATGCCGTATTCTCCAACTATAGTTGTATTCTCCGCTGTCGTAGTCGGTGGTACGGAATCTGTGACACAGACTTGAGTAATACAAGCGCAAGCTGCGGAATATTTGTGACAGACGAGAAAATTCTTGACACTTTGATTATCCCGTTTTATCGAAAAATCTTAACAAGCAATAGTTTAATGAAACGATAGAAAGGCATGTAAGTGATCGTAGTTTCCTAGCAATCAGTATCTTCAGCATCTCAATTTATCTTTTATTTCGAATATTGATGATACTTTGCAATAGAATAGCTCTTAAAATCCGTGTTTGAATGTACTGTATTCATTCCCTGGTAGATTTCTATCGCTGGTAAAAGTGCAAATCGGGTTTCCGTATCGGCGATATTCGAAATCGAACTCGCTTTCGATTTCATTGAAATCTAATATCTAATTATTATTTAATTCTCACAACGAATCATTGGTTAGAGAAAATTCTCCGACCTAAAATTAATTTTATCAAAAAAAGTAGATATACGAACTCGAAGTTAATAGTAATTTAGGAACGGCAATATGCAAGATCGATCTCACACCGTGAGTATCCGAACCCAATTTTAAGGTCACTAATTGTCATTCATAGGTTTAGCAAAAGTAGAGGTAGTCAAAAGTCTCGTTAAAACAGCTAGATCTTAAGGTCAATATACGAACGCTCTCCCTCGTATATTGATCCGACATCATTAATTTTAGTTTTTATGGTTGATAACTCTCGCTTGATAATAAATCTCTCACTCTTTTACTGTCTCTTTCTCTTTCTTCCTAATACTAATAAACTCGTAACTATTACTGTGTGCCTTTCAGACGTTGAAGTGAGGTTCTGAGAATAGAAGTAAACTTTGAATAAACAAGGTTTGTTGGCAGGTCTCCCTTGTCGCATATTTAGCATCATGCAACATAGATACGAGGTAAGAAAAGTATACATGATATACTGTATTCCCAAAGTATGTGGTATTATAATATGAATCTTCTTGGAGCCCTTGGTAAGATATAATATTGCACGATAAAAGACACTTGCGCTTAAAAAATTCTACAGTGCATATTAATAACATCAACAGAACTTATTTCTTCGTAGTAAAGCTATTGCCAACATGGTTCGGTTCATGTGCTTTACTTTAACATCGATGCTACTTTGTCAAGGTATCAGTAAATAAATATTGAGATGTTCAAATAATAATCTTTGGTATACGCATTTAACAGAATAATAATACTGCTAGCTTGTTGATGAGGTTACGATTTTTGCGCTGTTTATTAGTCACACTATAAGCAACAAATTACTGTTTGCATAATTATGTTCGTGCGTTTATAGCTAATATATTGAAAAACAACAAAGTCAATCATGTCATTAAAAATAAAAAGTATTTTGGTAATTTTACAACTCATTACTATTGTACAAAAAATTGGGGTGCTTGCCGATCTATCAAAAAACTTTTGCCAATAAATAGGACCATTGTAATTGAGTCATTGGCCAGGTTCGAACCATTCACATTGATGCGTAGCACCCGCTCTAACCAGTTATTCAATTGTAACGAGGGAGTTCAGTTTTTTCAGATAATCCTTTTTCCAAAGGTGTGAAAGCGAACAAGGCCTCTCCATGAAGTGCGGCCATTGCGGGACTAACGAGATAGACTATGATGCTGCTGCTGGACATAGTTTCTGTACCAAGTGTGGATATGTAAGCATAGCACACAAACGAGTAGTCGCTGACTTCGCGTAGAATGTATCATTCCTTGCTAACCCGTCCAGTAGGTGGTTATTGAAAATACCATAGTATCTGAAGTAACATTTGCCGAGTCGGCTACTGGAGCAGCTGTTCTGCAAGGCTCTTTTGTGGGACCGGACCAAAGTGAGATGCAATTTCAGATTTTTGACTCGGAGGGGGGGGGGGGTGCATTTACGCATGTAGATACGATGTAATAGTATAACATTATTCTACCTCAGGAAGACCCCGAACATCAGGTCCGTTCCGCAGACATGGCTCACAAGAATCGCGAGAACAGTCAATACAGAATGGTATACGTTTTCATCTTAAAGATCAAGCATTCTAAACAAAACCGTTTCGCTTACCTCGACCTCCTTGATCAAATTGGATAGGGCGAAGAAAGATCCAACAACTAGGTAGTGCTCTTAAATTGTCAGAACATCATATGGACGCAGCACAGAGGTATTTCAATCTTGCCATCACAAATAATTTCATCCAAGGACGCAAAACAGTTCATGTGGTCGCCGCCTGTCTATATATTGTCTGCCGTATAGAAAAGACAAGCCATATGCTGATTGACTTCTCTGATATATTGCAGGTAAACAAACATTGAATGCTATCGATTACGAGAGATATAACCTCGATTGTTCCAAGTCCCCATCGCTTTCATACATAACCGCTCATCCTTCATATCTACTTCGAAACCAAGGTCAATGTGTTCACACTGGGTTCAACCTTTCTCAAGCTAGTCCGAGAACTCTGTTTAATCCTTCCGCTCGTAGATCCCTCGTTGTATATTACACGCTTTGCATCGATGCTAGAGTTTGGAGAAGAAACTCAAAAAGTCGCGTCTGATGCTCTACGATTGGTACAGCGTATGGATCGGGATTGGATGCAAACAGGCCGCAGACCTGCTGGCATTTGTGGGGCATGCCTGCTTATTGCGGCTCGGATGAACAATTTCAGAAGAAGCGTGAGGGAGGTGATTACAGTTGTTAAGATTGCCGACGTGACGATAAAGAGAAGGTTAGAAGAGTTTAGGAATACACCGTCGGGACAATTGACAGTACAACAGTTTAAGACAATGTGGCTGGAACAAGCATGTGATCCGCCAGCTTTTACTAGAGCCAGGCAACAGGCAAAAGAGGAAGAGCGTATGTTTGGTAGAGGGAGAGGTTTGGGGGGTGCAAGGAGCGAGAGGAGTGAGAAGGCCGGAGAGAATGAAGCAGTCGAAGATGGAATTGAAGCTGATGAGGGGGGTGAAGCAGTTGATGGGGAAAGTGAATCGGGCCTGGTATCAAACGATGGTCAACTGGTTACGGAAGAAGAGCAAGTAGAAAGCGCTGTGGATGATACTAATATAGACGCGCACAATGCGCCAAAAGGACATACTGGAGATGCAACTATAGACACTGGTTTAAGTAGCGATGATGATGACGCTCGCATCTTGACTATAGAGGAGGTAGGAAAACGTTTAAAAGATTTTCGAAAGGCTAATGAAGTACTACCGCTAAATGTTATTTGATTCTATGTAGGCTGAAAGTATAGTTGATCAAGAACTAGAGGATGAAGTAAATAGATATCTTCATGATGACCTATTACAATCAGTATCTTTAACTCTTGGTAATTGCAAGAAAAATTTTTTTGTTCAATTCCATCTCTTTCAGCGAGGCTAGTCTGAAGTTTGAAAGTTATTTTAGATGCCAGCGAAGCCGCCACTCGTCGGGCGCTCGAAGATAGTACTGAATTGGGCTCTGATTTGGACGATGATGAAGTGAATGATTGTCTATTGACTGCTGACGAAGTTAAAATAAAGACCCAAGTGTGGATGCAAGATAATGAGGAGTATCTAAAGGAAATGGAAGGTATGAAGTTGTAAAAGCGCGCGCGCGCGGGGGGGGGGGGGGACATGCCACTGGATATGGAGTTTGTAACATGTTTATATTTTGTACTCTGATAGCTAAACGAAAAAAGCAAGAAATGGATAGACAAAACGGGATAGGCACAACTCGAAGGGTATGGACGCACGCACGCCATAACACTCAATTTTTTGTTATAGCGTTTCATCATTACTTATATTACGTGTAATTCAGCGTCGACGAATGAAGAAAGATAAGCCCGGAGAGTTACCTCCATCAACGACTCCAGCTGAAGCAGCCAGACGTCTTCTCGAATCGAAAAGAGCATCCAAGAAAATTAGATACGAGGTTTTAGAATCTTTGTTTGATAACAATTTCATGGCTGGTGCGACTGTTGCATACGCTGCGTCGCCGACACCATCTTGGCGTGATTATGATGCTTCAAGCGTAAGTGGGGCAGGGTTAAGAACAAGACCCTCTTCACCAGGCAGTCAAGCTGAAGAGGACGAGTTTTCAGCCAATGCAAGGAAACAGCTTGGTTGGGCACAGGATGATGACGATGAATATGCTGACCCGTGGGATGAGTACAACGAAGATGATTAGAATTTGCTAGCAAAAAGTGTCGCTAATAATTTAATTAAGTATAGACAAATAAATGAAAGACTATAATAAATGGACTATATGAATACAACTGGTTTATTCAATTGATTTATTCTCAGACAGGAAAACAATTTTATTAGGACATGGTAAGGCAAAGAATACCAATTCCTGTGGCGAATATTCGATAGGCTTTAACCCTTCAGCTTCTTCTTCGGTCTCAATTGATTAGAGTGACCACACTACTTAAAGCATCAAGACATTACTATCCATATTTTGATAAATTAGTCAAACTACCGCCCATCTGATTACAAACCTTCTTCTTCCTGCAGTTAGTCGCTCTTGGAGGCAATCTTGCATAACATTTCCTGCAAATCATTTTTTCGCAGCAATATTTCGAGGCCAATTGTCTGAGCGATGGTTCAATAAGACCACCTCTTAGACGCAATACGAGATGAAGAGTGGATTCTTTCTGGATGTTATAATCCGCCAAAGTATGACCATCCTCAAGTTGTTTACCAGCGAAAATAAGACGCTGCTGGTCAGGTGGAATACCCTCTTTATCTTGAATCTTTTGTTTTACATTTTCGATGTTATCGGAACTATGAAAGTAAAATCAGCCATGTAGGTCGTACATAAATAAGACGCAGTACCGAGAGAGAAGGAGCTGAAATGCATATATTCGAGCGTTTACGTGCTGGAACAAGTAGAAAGTGAGTTTACCTTTCAACCTCAAGGGTTATCGTCTTTCCCGTGAGTGTCTTGACAAATATTTGCATTTTGGTACCTATTTGGACAAAGAGTACCAGATTAACAACTCGCAATTACCGAAATTTATTATTATTGTCGTGACTAAACAGGGAATAGAGGGTTCCGTCAAGTCTGAGGTTACCAAGTAAGCTGAAATCCCGCTGCGCTGCCTACCTTTTCTAACGTGTGAAAGAAATTTTCCCTTGGTCTATGGATTTACGCTGGGGAAGTTTATTTATACCCCAGTTTCACACATTAGGTCATAGTTATTGGTGTCACCAATTTGGTGCGACAAACATGACTTTAAGGTCGATATTAATTTATTTCAGCGACGGTAATTTTAATTGTTTGCATACGCATTTACCACGGACGACTACGATTGCAATAGTTAGCGTACACTATTGCATTGGACTATTGATTTTCAAATACATGATGATTATCAACGAAAGCATGTCTGCAGAATCTGTAACCATTTTTTGAACAAAAACAGTACAATTGCTTTTATTGTGCTGGAAACAACGTTTAGAATAGATACATTATCTGGCAACTTTCTTAGCTTAGGAATTTGAAGAGGAGGTAGCACGCCAAATATGCCTGTGTGGTAAATCGACGACCGAATATTTCCGACGATCACTATGAGTCACTTGTTCAGGAAGACGAGACATAGTCATTGCACGAGATCTCTATCATTAGTTTAAATTATGATATGCGTGTACGAAAGTCAATCAATTATCATTACGTTTTGGATGAAGGTCAGGTATATAATCAGGGATGTATTATGACAAAATGTAACTTGGTCAAGATGAACTATTAATTAATCATCGGCAACATTGCTTATCATCTACTTCTGCAAGATTAATATTTACTACACATACTAATGCTTGACCCTCATCGTCTCCTGAGTCTGGTAGCGTTGCTTCACATGGCATTACCGGGGCGGCTCAGCATCCGCCAATGAAAATGACTTGAGAAAAGTTTTTGGATGATGTTGCTTTGCAGACCTTTGTACGCGTTTTGTGTCGCTTGAGTGCTCTTACTAGTACAGCTAATCATTTTACTGGGGAATGTGTAATTGTTTTAGGCAATCTAATACAGGGTCCTCTCAACAGTTTTGATGTCCCGATCAAATTTGGAAATGTATAGTAGAGGCATCAGTTCTCACAGTCTTTCTATATAGAGTAATATTTAGGTTTTGTGTGATAGATAAATTCCTGTGATATCTGATATGTGACTGAAATGAAGCACATTCTTTTATAATAAGACCGCTATGATTATTATCCAATGTTATCTATCAAACAGAAGGAGTTTTTTTTTTCATTGTATTTATCTAAAATCTCAACCAAAATTAATTTAAATAGGATTCTTGATCAAAGCGGAGATTACTCGCACACCTCAGCCAAAGCATATGGTTTATTGGACAGCATATCTTAATGACGAGATTGAACGAATACAATAACTTTAAATCCCAAGTTCGTATTTTGCGATCTACGTTTAATCAATTACTTCCGAAAAATATCCAATTACTTTACTTTTTGTAGACGTATAGTTTTTGGTTGTTGGACACGTTGTGAAAATAGTGTTGTCGACTAGAGTTCATAAATTGTGGTATATTAATTAACATTATTTCTATCATCATGATGCCAGAGACGTCAGTGAGGGAATTGCACTTGGAGACATAAATCTATTAGATTGGGATTTGCAACGTTTTACTGTGGACCTTCTCAAATTTGGTAAGTGACTTAAATATTGTTATTGGTTGCGAAAAATGATCCAATGTACAATTCACGCAACAACATTGAATTCCTCCCTATTTTTCAGTGTTTAAGTTTGATACTGTGTGCATGAGTTGCGGTATTAGAGCAACCATCATGTTGTACACCGCGGTAACTAATCAATCCATTTGAAACGCGCGTTTAAAAGTGTGTTGGTCCTGGTCACATGGGGTCGGGCATAGAAGAGAAAATTAGTGACCACTCAAGTGTAGAAAATAGAACTACGCTCGACATGCAATTCGGTGCTTTACCTCCAGCTGATACGTACGTATGTACATATTTTCTTGGCTTTGTTGTCACCAGAATGCTTAAAGCAATGAATCAATAGACTTGAAACGGATGGGTGATTTGAATATTAGTCTTACAGCCATTACTTTACTATGGAATGTATTCATACGAAAAGAGCAAATCTAGAAAAGATTGCAGGTGACTACGAGCGGATGAATGAATTATTGATGTTACAGTATTCTTGTTGCAACTAGCTAGTACTCTCGGCCAGGAGTTAGGAATGGGCAAATCAAATTGTTATTTCGCACGATTGATATGAATGGAGCAGTTCTTGGCATATATTTGCGTATGACAAGTTTTATTTGCGTTATTAAATCTGCATCGTATGCAGAAAGAGTGGCGATAGATCTTCGGGAGATACAGTATGAGTGGATTGATGATTCGTCCCTCGCGTAATATTATCGACAATTACAGGAGCATCAGAAATTTTCTTCAATTTGAAGATTTCAAGCAGGCGTAGGGTTTGCTTTTATCGCATCTCCAGGATCCTTATCTATATCTGCATTCTAGTCATAAGGTGGCTAACGCGTCAATCAGGGTTTTAAATATCATTATTATTATCCAATGTCCAAATGAAGGTGATCACGGTGAAGAGAACATATTGCCTTATCAGCCGACTGCATGGGTCATTTGGGAAAGGATTTGTTTGGCACGCATCATCCAGCCGGTGCTGAAATTGACAATGAATCCAATAAACCGAGCTCGAATGTAACTACAAACGATTAGCATCGAATCAAATTCATCATAAACTTTAAATATTTTCTTGCATATTCAAATGATCTACCCCGCAAAGGCAGCTAACAGTAAACGTGCATAATTTTATTTCGGAATCCATGTTAACTCAACCATATTAACCATATTGACATGCATGCATATTGTATTTAATTGGAAGAGGCGTAAACCCTTTGTGTAAACTGTAAGTAAATCCGTGAATTCAAAAAATGGTTCGAGTCTCTAAATTATAAGAAATAGACGACAGTATTAACATTGTAAATTGCTTCAATTATATCAATGCATACCCAATTGTTGTCTTCATACCTGCAGCTGAATCACAATCATAGCTATTTCGCGGTTTAGGTAAATCTCCTGTAGGTAAGAGCTTACTAGAGTATTTACTCTCCTTCTCAAGACGTGATAGTGGTATTACATTACTATGATAGATGGTGTTCCATGTGTTGTCATCAGAACTACCCTTGTCCACCTCTTCAAAAAGGTTATTATTCCAAAGTGTCTCTGCATCTGGACGCTTATCGGGATCAGCATCACAACACCACTCAGCAAGTTTCTTGTATTCTTCTGGTGCTGAATCAGGCATCAATGGTCGTAGTCCACCCATAATATCACATACCAAATCTCTATCAAATTCTCTATCTCTAAAAGGTGGTTCACCAGTGGCAATTAAATACATAATAATACCAAAAGAATATATGTCTGACTTCTGAGTAAATTTGCAAGTATGAAAGATTTCTGGTGCAATAAAGGGTAAAACACCTTGAATGGTTGAATTTTGTTTGCATGAATTCACTGATTGAGAAAGACCCAGATCACATATGAATGTTTCTGTTTTATCATAACCATTATTATCATGTAAAACTATGTTTCCACCATGAAGATCACAATGGACTAAACCTGCATTATGGATAACATTTAGATAACATGTAATATCCCTCAAATGCTGTAATTTCATCTTCCATGTCAATTTGTTAATATTTTGATCCAAATAAGATAAAAGACTACCATTGTTAGCATACTGCATAACAATCATGTATTCTTTTGTTTCTGAATCTTGTGTCACTCCATAAGTTTTAAGGAATGGCCATATGATATTGCATTTGGCATGATTTCTGAACTATTAAATAAAAATAAATAGAGTTAGATTAAATATCACATTAGTTAGTTATATCAAAGAATGCTTACCTCAGAAATAAATAATTCCAACATCTGATCAAAATGTTTAAAACATTTGAGTACACTGGTTTTTGCTGTATCATCTTCTCCCAAGCCACCTCTATATTTGGCAGTATAGACTGTTCCATAACCACCACATCCAATCTCTTTGAGTTCATAAAAGTCAGCATACTGCATATACTGAACATCTACCATTGTATTATCTTTGTTAAGTTGTATATATCTGTCCAATATTGTGTGTATTTCATGGTAGAAAACTAAATAATACTTCCCAGTAGATGGCTCTTGGGTGATTCCAATTATCCAAACATTATCAGGGGTCAATATATCTGGGTATTTCTTAATTAGCTATTTGAATAAACAATACAATCATTACAACAATCAACGCAAATGTATACTTATTATTTTTACATGTGAAATAATTTACCTGATGAAAATCAAGTGACTGAGTATCACCTATCTGCTTGAGTGTCACTTTTGTCCATTTATTTATTATTGTATCCAACCAATTCGCTATATGTGTGCATCCATGGCATAATGGGATCATCTGTTGTATGTCTATTAATAGGGAATACTCTATCCATTGTATATATGCATCATATTCACTCTTCACATTACACCATGACTCCATAATGAATGAATCCAAAGACTTGTTGCCTGTAGTCCAATCAAGAGGTGTTGGTACTTTACACCAATAGCAGAATGCATTTATCTTAGGTTCTAATGGATGTGCACATGCTAGACATAATAATAAACCATCCTCACATTTTATTAGATAATATGTTTGTTTATGCATATCATACATGAATCCGATGGTACCCAAATATTTGTGGTAAGAATATCCAGATGCTCATCACATAACTGGTGGGAATTATACATAAAGTCAATATTTACCTAAACAATCGGTAACCGTGATATATTCACACAAATATTTGATAATCACCTTGTCATAATATAAATCATGTGTCTCATCTGTTATCTCAATGTAACAAATACATAGTCATCAATAATAGGTAGAGTATACAAGTGTACATATCCATCTTCCTCAACATCAATACAAT